TGTGTGTGTGTGTGTGTGTGTGTGTGTGTGTGTGTGTGTGTGTGTGTGTGTGCTGATACTGGGGGCTTGAACTCAGAGCCTGAACTCTGCCCCTTAGCTCTTCTGCCCAAGGCTGGCATGGCACTCTACCACTTGAACCATACCTCTACTTCTGGCTTTTTGCTGGTTAATTGGAGATAAGAATCACATAGACTTGCCTGCCTAGGCTGGCTTTGAACTTTGATCCTCAGACCTTGGCCTCTTGAGTAGCTAGGATTATAGGGAGCCACTGGTATCGTCACTGATAGAATTTTTATTTCCCATCAGCCAGATCTGCTGCTTTGGAGGACTTGGACCCCAAAGGGAGATTTCTTCCATTGGAAAACACAAGAATGGTTTCATTGGCTTGGAAAATGGGACTGTAACCTGGCCATTTGGACATCTATGCGCTACTGAACAAAGAGGAATAAAAGGAGCTAGTAGTGTGCCTAGCAAGCAAGAGGCTCTGAATCCAAACCCTAGTACTGCCTATCCTTTCCCCCACAAAACCAACTTTGTGCAGTGGCAGTATAGCCAGTGAGGTTGATTCTAGGTGGGGAAAGGCTCTGTTCACTGACTGGTGTGATTGATCCTGAATATCTAGGAGAAACTGTGTTGGTGCTGCACAGTACCAGTGAGGAAATCTAGTTCTAAAACCCAGGAGAGTCTCTGGAGGTGCCACTTAGTACTTGAGTACCTAATCATAAAGGGGAAAATAGTGCAACCAAATAAAAGCAAGTAACTCAGACCTTGAGTCAGAAATGGATACTTGGATCATTTCATCAGGTAAAGAACCTTGACTATACTGGGCTCTGATGGCTCAAGCCTATAATCCTAGCTACTCAGGAGGCTGAGAGCTGAGGATCCCTAGTTCAAGCCAGCCCAGGAAGAAAAGTCCATGAGACTTTTATCTTCAATTAACTACCAAAAAAAGAATGGAAGTGGAGATATGGCTCAAGTAGTAAAAGTGGTTCAGAAAAAAGGCAGAAAAAGACAAATGAGAGTATGAGGCCTTGAATTCAAGCCTCAGTTACCAGTACAAATAAACAAAAAATCTTGCCTGCTGTTCTGGCTGTAAGTGGAGAAATAAAAGTGGGTAGGATGCCAGGTGCTGGTGGCTCACACCTGTAATCCTAGTTACTCAGGAGGCTGAGATCTGAGGATGGTGGTTCAAAGCGGTGAGACTCTTATCTCTAATAAATCACCAGAAAACCGGAAGTGATGCTGTAATTCAATGGTAAAGTGCTAACCTTGAGCTGAAGAGCTGACAGACAGGGCCCAGGACCAGAATTCACAACTGACAAAAAAAAAAAAAAAGTGGGTAGAATAACATAAATGTCAATTATGGCTCTTGACCAATCAGAAATGAGGACTGTGGTAAGTTGGCATTATTTTCTTTTTATTGTGTTTGTCATTGCTAATCATTTTATTAATCTCCCTTTCATTTTTTTGGTTAATCATACATCTAGAACAATGTATCAACAAAACTGTATGTGCAGGTAGAGAGATGAATGAGATTTATGCTATTATATTAACTGTATACACTTAGGCAAGAGCTAGAAACATCTTTAAGGAACTGGCCCTTAATATTTTAATGGTATATCAACTTTTATAACTTGAAAAGGTTTCTATACACAGATCTCACTTGATTCTCACAAAAAATATGGAGAGGGTAAGGTATCCTGAGCTTAGTTGTTTACAAATGTATAAATAAGCGTTTCAAAGTCTAGCAACTCTCCTCATAAGTAGTTGAGAGGTTTTAGAATTCAGATCTTGGTAAAGGGGAATTCTGTGTTTTTCACTATCTAAAAGCAGAGGCTGACAGGTTAACGTATAGTACAACTCACTGAATATTTGTTGAATATATAAACATGTCATGTAAGCCTATTTCAGAGTCCCCCCCCCCAATACTACAAAAGCCCTACTATGAGAACCAAGTTCAATAACTGAAACCAGTTCATAAGAAGGAAGCATGGGAGGCTGGGGTTGGGAGAAGAGGTGAGGAGCATTCTGGGGAAAACTAGGAAATACAAGATGAGGCAATGGCTTTTGGAAATGTCAGTGTTTATTAAACATTTAATGACATGTAGAGACTTGAGAAGCAATATACAGAATGTAGAAAAATCCTAAGAATCCCCTGTGGCTGAAAGTACAGCCTCTTCTTTTTCCCCCTATTTTCTACCCTCCTCCCCTTTCTCCTTGTTAAAGCCATTTCTTAGTATTAATTTGTTCCCTCTTCTGCCTCTGACTTGTGAGAATCAATTATCTCTCTTTTTCCTTCTCTCTCTCTGTTAGTCACTCTTTCTCCAAGACCTTGATTTCCAGAACAGTGTTCCAAAGTGGTCAAGGGGCATCAAGCCTATAATGAGGTCTGAGGATCAGGGGCCCCTCTGTTTGAGCTGGCTGGATCTCCATTTAGGACTTAATGGGAGTGGGGACCTGCAAAAGCTACATGACGTCATTGGTCCTCAGTCATGGGAGTAAAGGGCAGGGAGCACCGGCACAGGTAACCAAACCAACAACAACAACAAAAAAGAATGGATTAAAAATAAAAAAAAAATCAATAACCTAACTAAACCCTGAAGGACAGACTGCTCTGTATGTTAGTCAGAGGAGAGGATGTGGAGCTGGGCCACCGGATAGAGGAAAGGGAGGGACAGAGAAGGAAAAATCAAGATCCATGGTGGTCAAGCTGAAGTACACAGGATGAGAAAACCAGGTGGCTTGGAGTTGGGGCAGGGGCTTTCAAGGTCCCTTTCTTCTCAGTGCCTGAGGGACAGGCACCAAACACGCAGCCCTTGGGGCAGGGAAGGGGTAGGATTAGTCCATGGGCTCCCAGAAAACCAGGGATAAGGTGTGAGAGTACAATTGCTTAGGAATGAATTTTGGAACGAAACTTACATCTCAAAGGAAGGTGAGGGCAGGGCAGGGCTGGGGAGCAAGGGAGGAAAGCACCTAGACTGGGGGATGAGAAGAGCCTAGGTCCCCCTGCTCGGGTGGGGCCTGGGGGTGGCGATCACTTGTCCGAGTCCAGGCCCATCATGTTCTTGAGGGCGTTCTTGAGGCTGGTTCTGCTGGGGGACTTGACAGCAGGCCGAAGCTCCGCGCTCTGCTCATCCTTTCGAAGCTCCATCTCGATGACCACCACTTGAGCTCCTTTGGCGGACTCAGCCCCTGACCCCCGACCCCCTGCCCGGCCCGCTAACCGCTATTTCTTATCTTTGCGAGACTCCCCCAGCCCCTTAGACTTCTTCTCACTGGCAGCTTTGGTGCTTCTGCTGTGGTCCAGCATGGCATACAGCACTGGCGTCTGGGGGAAGAGGTGCGTGCATCAGCGGCCAGTCACAGCCGTAGAGGCTGGACTTTGCTGATCCCGCCCCTCATGGCTGCCAGGGAGGCTCCCGGGGGTTCTCCTCCCCAGCTTTATCCAGCACCCCCAATCCCCGCTAACCTGACGCCCGCGCTTCGACGAGTCCTTGGAAGACTTGTGCAATTTCCCCTTCTCCATGGCACTGCAGGAAAAGGGGGTGCCGTGGATTCGGCCTCACAGGACCCCCAAGCCCAGCTTTGGCCCTCCCTTCCGAGAAGTAGTCTCCGCCCACGTGGGGGAATCGCGACGTGCGGGCGGCGAGCCAGGCTCCGCCCCTTACCTGAGCCGCCTTTGCAAGGTCGCCTGCCTCCGGAGCCAGCAGTATCGAACCAGGTAGAAGAGCAGCAGCAACAACAGCACCACCCCGAAGACACCTCCAATCACGGAACCCAAAATCACCCCGTACCTAATTGGCACTAGGAAAGAGGGGAAAAGAAGTTGGGGAAAGGGCAGGGAGTTCTGTTGGTGGTTCCTTGTTCCATTCCTAGCCATCCCTTGCCAAGGTTACTTAATGTTCATCTTTCCAGAACCTGACCATCATTAGGCTGAGACTTTTGTGTCTTCCCCCAGACTATCAGTACTTCCTAACCCTCTCCTGGAAGTGCCTCCCAGACTCCCTGTGCCTTTCCCTTTCCATACCTTTTTCAAAGACATAAAGTGTGACCTGAGAGGTCTTGCCCACTATGTCTGGTGGGTTTTTGACATCGCAAGTGAAGGTGCCGTTGTCACTGTAGTCCAGGTTGTGTATGACAATGGAGCCATCCTTCCAGCGAGGGTCTCCTACCCACTGGATGCGCTCTTTGAAAGCCCCCACCTCATCGATGTAGGGTTGTCCCTTGGCATAGTGGAAGATCTAGGGAAAATGAAGGGAAGGACTCTACTGTGAACAGTGCTTCGGGGTAAAAGGATCCTGGTTTGGGAAGGGTAGTGCCATGTGACAAAGGTCACCACTTACCTTGCCAATGTTGGACTTACATCGCGTAACAAATTTTACCTCAGCAGGATTTCTCTCTCTTTGTTCTTTAAAGCACACTTTTTATTATCCAACCCCAAAAGCCCTCCCCACAAGGCACTCACTGAAATGGCATCTCGGCCCCCTTCAGGCTGGTAGCGCCAAGTGAAAGAGATGTCATCTGAGACCCATTCACTGGACCAGAAGGAGCAATGCAGGGTCACCCGGGAGCCCACAGCACCATGGACCTCCCTGTCCGTGTAAACCACAATGGCCTGGGTTGGGGACAGCACTGAAAGCACAGAGAAGAAATTAGATAGACATATAGCCCAGTAAGAAATATAGAGGATGTGAGACCAATATGTAGACAAGGGCTGAGTCACAAGTCTGAGGTCATAGCAAAGAAACAGTATGTTTTGAGGTCTGGATTTCTGAATCAACTGAATTGGCTAGTATAAATGCTGCATATCTTCAAGCTCTGAGCAAGTCTGTAGAGGAAATAAATTACAGAACTTCCAGAAAATGGGTGTCTACAAGTCTCACTTTCCACTGAGTCAAACTCTAACTCTTTTGAGACAGGGTTCAACTATGTAGCTCAGGTGGGCCTCAAACTCACTTCCTCCTAAGCCATGTTCAGAAGTGCTGGAATTGCAGTCATGCACCACCATGCCCAGCTAGTATCTATCTTGTAAGCTATCCTTTAGATACAGGCCTTAAATTTGACACAAATTATATATTTAATATTTATTGCATTCTTCTCAGAAATTATTAAAGCAATATGATAAAGTTTCTTTGAATCTACCCCAAATGTTAGCAGTTTAATGTGTATGTTCTCCTTATGTATCAAACTCAAACTCAAGATACAACTGTATTTAAATACTTTTATAGTTTTTTTTAATATATTGCATTATACCCCACTTTTTTAGTTTAAGAATATATGGATCTGCACAATCAAAAAAAAAAAAGAACCTTGGGGAAGGTAGGGAGGGAAGGGATGGTAGGGGGAAAACAATGGAGGGGGTAACAATGTTCAAGAGGAAGTGTACTCATTACCTCACTCATGTAACTGTAACCCTCTGTATAGTATCTTTACAATAAAAAAAAAGAATATATGGATCTGGGTAAGATCTGCATAGACATCAAGAGAGCCTTAAGCTCTCACTTTGCCTTTAAATATATATATATATATATATATATAATCTGTAAGCATTTGGACAAAGGAGTTACCATTCAACAAAATGCCAGGCATTTTGATCAGTGTCACCCCTCTTCATCATTCTCCTCCATCTCTCCCAACTCTTCTCTTCAATTTTCCTAATTTCATAGAATATGCATTGAATGTTACAACTGTATTTTCCCCACCTTGCTTGGCTTTTTTGATCTTGGTTGCTGCTCTACCACTTGACCCATACCTCCAGCTCTGGATTTTTAAATCTTTATTTATTTATTTTTGTCAGTTATGGGGCTTGAACTCAGGAGCTGGGTGCTATCTATGAGCTTTTTCACTCAAAGCTAGTGTTCTACCACTTTGAGCCACATTGCCACTTCTGATTTTCTAGTCATTCATTGGAGATAAGCTTCTCACAGATTTTTCTGCCCAGGCTGGCTTTGAACTGTGATCCTCAGATCTCAGCCTCTTGAGTAGCTAAGATTACAGATCTGAGCCATTGGCACCTGGCCCAGATTTTTTTTTCTGGTTAATTAGAGATAAAAGACTCATTCATTGATTGCCCAGGCTGAGTCTGAACCTTGATCCTCAGATCTAAGCCTCCTGGGTAGTTAGGATTACAGGTGTGAGCCATTGGTGCCCCAGTCAACAATTTTTAGCAGCTATGTATGCTGTATTTCACAGGATAGCAAACTAAAATTTCTTGCAAAAAATAATAAAGATGAAGAAAGTTATTCTCTGACACAGCTGTCTTCACTGATGAATTCCTGGTTGCCATACTACTTGGCTTCCTCTTGACCTAGGGAGCCAGAAAGAAAAGGACCTTCCAGCTCTCTCAGCAAAGCTGATGGAGAGCAAGACCCTAAATGCAGATCTCAGATGCCAGTGCATATGAAGCTCTGTGGTTCAACCATTCACACTCCTGCTAGCCATTCTGCTCCAGTGGTACCCCCAAGACCCACCCACACATGGAAGGCCATTCCAGGGAGACTATGTGTGTGGGTTGGTCCTCAATTGGGGTAACTGTAGATTCTTTTGTTCTAAAGGAGGAAACAAACAAAGTCCTATTGTCTAACCAATGTTGAGGATTCATGCCATCCCCAACCCTTACCTTCATTGTTCTCTCCCACCTCAGCATGCAGTATCATTTACTCACTCCTGCAACTTTCAACTTACATAATTCTTGGGAATCACCAATATACAAGAGAGGTTATTTATTGGATCTAACTTCTATTCCTTTGGTTATAATATCAACCATTGCCCTTCTCAGCTCTGTTCAAAGGCTCTAAGAGCAGGACAGAAACCACTCCCTCCCCTTATACTTCACATTTTCTTCTCCTCATTTCCTTTGCTATAACCTTTTCAACTCACTAATTTAACATATTTTTAGGGGATTAGAATAGCATAGACTGGGATGAGTCTAGGTTCTGGGCTTACAACTCAAGGAACTGACACCAGAGAACCTTGGACCTTCCTTCTATTCCTTTTTCTGCTACTCCTCACCCCTCAGTCCAGCTTGCTGCTGTCATTTATTATGTTAGGCATCAGGGCAATTTGGAGAAGGGAAGGATCCACCATTAACACTACTTTGACCTTCCCTTGCTCACCCAACGAAATCCTAGGATTCAGCTCTGTACCAGATGAGGAGCCACAGAGAGAAACGAAGACACCACAAAACAAAGAATCTGAGGAGCTGAGACCTAAATCTTCAGCTCTCTCTTTAGACCTCTCTTTAGCATTTCTCTTCTGGAAAAGTAAGGTTGGATATCTCATGTACTACTAGGGGTAAAATGGGGATCAGACCCCACTCTTTGATTCTGCTCCTTCCCACACACACTCTAACATTGTTTCCTACCAGGCCCTCACCACAGCTTTGGGAACATCTGACTAGTTTCAACCTAAGTACAGCCATGCCCACTCACAAAAGTTATCCATGATCTCTTTTACCATCTCCCTTCCTGGAATACCTTCTCTCACCCACTCTAAAAAGATCCCCGCCCTTCCCTGTAAATATAATATCACCTTCGGACCCTTGTTTACTGGCTCTCTGCAGTGAAGAGGGCAATGAAGGCAATGGGAAGGTATTGAAAGACCACCTAAGTAGCAGGGCTCCCAGACTGTAGGGGTTCCACTTACCCAAAGAAGAGAAGAGTAGCACAGCCAGAATAGGGCTGGAGCTGGATGAGGGAGCCCCAGGAGCCATAGCTGGGGAAGGGACTATGGCCTGGAGCGTCTGCGGGGTGAAGAGAGTGGGGGACAAGGACTGAGCGGGGGGATTCCTGGAACCTGCTTAAAATCCCCTGGGACTTCATCAGGAGGGGGCTGTCCTGGGCCAGTAACCAATTGCAGTCTGGCATGTGCAGTTGGGAGGTGGTGGGGAGGGAGGCAGAGTGCAAGGAGCAGAAGGGGCATTGTACAGTCTGGATGGGGGGGGTGGGGGGACACATACCACCCCATACACAGAAGGCATTGTGTCTATTGGCCTCCCCCTGCCCCAGGCTGGAATGTTGGGGGGTGGTGAGGGACAGGGGCAGAAAAAATGGACACACACTTCACTAAGAGAAGATAGGAAGGGAAATCTAAATACAAAGTCCACAAAAAGGGATTCCTCCTTAGCTTCCTTGTCTGGAGGTGGCTCCTTGAGAGCCTTAGGAGTTAGAGGCAGGTTCTCCTCAGAGAACTCCCCAAATAGGATATGCTTTGTTATCTTGATGACGTAGGCTACATTACAGACTTCTTGAGATAACCTGGTCCTTTGGGAATCTTTTTTCCATTTCTCTTCATCTTAAGAGATAGAAGCCTAGCTCCATTGGAAAATTCACAGCAAAGAGGTATCAGACCTTTCACTCTCTGTTAGGAACTCCTTCAAGGCCTCATGCTGCAGTTTAATGTATTTCAGTTTAGAGCAATGCAACAAAATTGCACTGCATCCCAATTATGTGTAAAGTATGGGAATGTGGGGAATAGAATCAAAATAATAAATTCCTTTTACAAGTTCAAAATCTAGTTTAGGGAGGCAGAAAACAAACCCATCAACATCTTGCTTTAGTAATGAACTACTTGCTTTAGTAATAAACAAATGCCAGGAAAACCACAGAGGGCATACAAGTCACAATATCAGGAAAGTTATATGATTAAAAACAAAAAATAAACTGCATTTAATAAATGAAGCTCAGAGGACGTGGCAGTCAGGCATGGGAAGCAAAGTTAGATATGACCCAGCCTTAAAGAATGAGTGCCATTTTGAAAAGGGGAATGGGTAGAGAGGGTAACAGGACAAGCAAGAACAAAGAAATGAGTTGGGTGTCAGTGGTTCACACCTGTAATCCTACCTAAGGAGGCTGAGATCTAAGGAACCAGGCTCAAAGCTAACTCAGGCAGGAAAGTCTGTGAGACTCTTATCTCCAATTAACAACCCAAAGTCAGAAGTGGAGCTGTGGCTCAAGCAGTAGAGTGCCAACTTTGAGGGGAAAAGCTAAAGAATAGGGCCCATGTGTCCTGAGACACACATAATAAAAAGGGTGGATTTAATTTGCTTCATCATAATTATCTTCTGAAGACTTAGGGGGGATGGAGTTAGGGATGGGATGTTTATATAAACAGAAGTGAGTTTTAAGACAAATCTGGCTAACAGTGTTTCAGACAGAGCTCTCCTGATTATGACTTCCTTTGTTTACCTCCTTAGGATCATATAAAACGATTTTGCTTTTCATCCAACTTACCTCACTCCCGTTCCTTTCTCTCACCTTTTCACCTCTAACCTTGGCAAGACTCTGCTTCTTCTTGACTACTTTTTTTTTTTTTTTTTTTGAGCTGGTCCTGGGGGCTTCAAGGCCTGGGCTCTATTTCTGGGCTTTTTTGCTCTACCTCCTGTACTACAGCTCCTCTTATGGCTTTTTCTGTGATTAATTGGAGATAAATTTCATGGCCTTTCCTGCCCTGGATGGCTTCGAACTTTATCCTCAGAACTCAGCCTCCTGAGTTGACTTCTACTTTTGAGTCAGGCTGTTGCTGTGTAGTCTAGTCTAGCTACAAAATCCTCCTGTTTCTGCTTTTCAGTGTTGTGATCATAGCCTTGCCTCACCATGCTTAGCTAAAACTTATGTTTTGAGGTATTCATCATGGAATGTGTTGGAGCAGTCTTAAAGATCCAGGAATGCTGTAAAGGGATTCCTGCACTGAATAGAAGGTTGAATTAGGGAGCCTCAAAGATCTCTTCCAATCCTTAAGTCTATGAAAGTAATTCTGTTGTCAAGCATTAATAGAAATGCAAAATAGCATTATTCATTTGATACAGTAATAAGCAAATTTGTGCTATTTAAATCCTGAAAGGAACAATACAATAGTGCTAAATATAAATGAGATTTAAATATGAATACAGCCAAACATGTTTTATTGTAAAATCATTAAATTGCTCTGGGCTACCTCATTTACCCCTCCCTTCTTTTAACTTTCTCTCTGCCAAGGGTCAAGAACTTTTGCATTCTAGTTCCTTTCTCACTAGCTCATTTTCCCTCTTCAGTCTCTCAGGGATTGATTCCTGTGCTTAAACGCCTCAAAGCTGCTAATTGATATACAGCATATAAATCAAGGCGGGTTCTCCTCCACACCCGGGTTCTTGTGGTTGTGGGTGTCACCCACACAGTGCTGAAACAAGGAACAAGGGAGAGTTGTCTTTGGCTAGTGGGAGTTCAGCGCATGCAGCAGCTCTAGCCCAGGAACCCCGGGACCTAAGATAGTTAGAGGCCCCCCAACCTTTAAAATGGTGGTTGAGGTCCTCCTGCAGCCATGTCCTGTCTCCTTAAATTGGGTTTCAAATGTGGGGTGGCAGGGCACAAGTGATACTTTGTAATACTAAAAGACTCAGGAGATCTGACCATCACAGTTTGAATCCAGCCGGGTAAAGTCCATGAGAATCTTATTTCCAATCACCCACCAAAAAGCCAGAAGTGGGGCTGTGGTTCAAGTGGTAGAACACTAACCTTCAGCACAGGGCCCTGAGTTCAAACCACAGGATGGACAAACATACATACACAAAATGTGTCACTGCCTTCTGACTGAAGCTTCCCCTTAGAACCAGAGAAAATCTAAACGTATCCTTTGTCTTGAGTGTCTCAGCTGGCCAAGCCTGACCTTTTTAGGCTGACCTGTGAAGGCGAGTGAAACTGTGGGAAGGGCTCCATGAAGAATCTAGGCAAATTCGTCACTTGGTAGACCTGTAAGGCATGCAAAACCTAAGACTGCAATTTTTTTTTTCTTTGCCAATCCTGGGGCTTGAATTTAGGTGCTGGGCGCTGTCCCTCAGCTCTTCAGTTCAAGGCGAGCACTCTACCATTTGAGCCACAGCACCACTTCTGGTTTTCTAGTGGTTTATTGGAGATAGGAGTCTCACGGACTTTCCTGCCCGGGCTGGCTTTGAACCGAGATCCTCAGATCTCAGCCTCCTGAGTAGCTAGGATTACAGGCATGAGGCACCAGCGCCAGGCGCCCTGAGCTTCTTTTGCTCAAAGCTAGCGCTCTACCACTTGAGCCACGGCGCCACTTCCGGCTTTTTCTGTGTATGTGGCGCTGGGGAATCGAACCCAGGGCTTCATGCATGCAAGGCAAGCGCTCTACCACGGAGCCACAGTCTCAGACTGTACCGCAAATTTTTAAGCCAGTGGTGTGTCTACCCAAATCCTTGTAAATAATCAGTGGTGAGGGAGCAGGAGAGGAGTACCGTGAAGGAGAAAAACACCATCAACCGAATACAGAGCCGAGCCGCGCCACTCCGGAGCCGGCTTTAAGGAACGCGTGCGATCACGTGACAGGCCCTCCCCTCCCGCTCGGCCCCAGCTCGCGGGGATGGGGGGGGGAAGGGGTGGGAGGGGCCATTCGTCACTTCCGCCCAGGCCGGAATCCAAGATGGCTGCGCTGTTGCTGAGGTGACTTTAGCGCGGGGCAGGGACGCCGTGCTTATGACCCTTGGGGTGTCTGAACTGTCCCCTCTCGCCTTGTCATCTGCGGCTTATGCTGTGCAGGGGCAAAGAAAGGACCCCTGGGTGTGGAGGGCCCTCGCTCTGGAGTCGGGAGACCCCCGGCCCCTCTCCCTACCCCCATCCCCAGCGGTTGCTATGAGACTGGGCCGGGCTGCGGGGCCCGAACTCCGGACGTTGGGAGTTGTGGCGCGGCGCTCTCCTTTCTTACTCCCCCTTCCCTTCTACTGCTTCGCCCCCATTTTTTTTTTCTTTTCTTTTGGCCCCACAGCCGAGACCTATAAATCATTCTTGGAGGTCAGCTGACCTTGGCTGCTGCAGCTCGGTCTCCTCTTCGGAGGCCGGGCCCGGCTGGAGGGCTGCGCTGCGCCTTGGCACCGCTGCCCCCGGGGCGCACACTGGGGACTGTTCAGGTTCTAACGCTGCTTTTTTTTTCTTTTTGCTGTGCTAGGGTGGAACTCAAGGCCTTGTGCTAGACCTCGAGCCACACCCGATCCCTCCAACAGTTTTGTTCCTATTTTGCGAAGCTCTTTGTTCTAGAAAGTTACCTTCGTTAACGGTTGAGATTTCAGCGACTGTGACTGCCCAAGTTCCTAAGGGACTGTGGAAACCCTACCCAGCCCGTGACAAGCGGTAGCACCCGGATTAGCCTCGGCTGCCCCCAGCGGGTTCATTTTTGAGTTTTATTTTTCTCCACCGGGGTCTTGGGTAATGGAGTAGATGTTCCAACTTTTGGCGTAAAAGATCAACTCACTGCCTAGAGTAGCACCCTATTTACAACTTTCTTGTTTGTTGTTGGTGCTGGTAATGTGGCTTTGAATTTAAGGACTTGGCTCTGTCCTTGAGCTCTTTTGTTCAAAGTTAGCGGTCTACCACTTTTAGCCACAGTTCCACTTCTGGCTTTTTCAGTGATACTGGAGATAGTAGTCTTACAGACTTTGCTGCCCAGGCTGGCTTTGAACCGTGACCCTCAGATCTCAGCCTCCTGCTTAGCTAAGATTATAGGCGTGAGCCACCAGGGACCAGCTACAGTTTTATTCAGAACTGTCTGGCTCTCTTTCTGTAATTCACTGCCCTCTAGTTCTAGGGACTAGTGCCTTTAGATAACTTCTGGTACAAATCCCAGCATTGTTTCCCTCCCTTTTTCTCTTTCACTCTCCCTTCCCTCTCCTTTCCTCCCTCCCTCCTTTCCTCCCTCCCTCCCTTCCTCTCTTCCTCCCTTTTTCTCTCTCCCCCCCCCTTTCCAGTACTGAAGGTTGAATTCATATTTGTTGACAATTGATTGATATTGATTGATAATAAGATAAGTGACCTTTTAAAACATGTCTTCAGTATTCAGGAAGCTTGTATTGTTTTTCTAATATTTACTTTTGTCTTTGTTTTTGCCAATCCTGGGCTTGAACTCGGCGGGAAACTGTCCCTGAGTTTCTTTGGTTTCCGACTTTTTCTGTTTATATGATACCGAGGAATCAAACCCAAGGTTCATGCATGCTAGGCACTGAGCCACATTCCCAGCCTTATGTTTACTTTTATTTCAGTCATTTTATATATTATAGAAATTTCTTTTGGGGGCTGTTTAAGTAGCATCAAAGTTATCTTTTTTTTCTTCTAATCTTTTTTAGTAAGGTGCTGGTGGCTCACACCTGTAATCCTAGCTACTCAGGAGGCTGAGCTCAGAGGATTGCAGTTCGAAGCTGGCCTAGGCAGGAAGGTCTGTGAGACTCATCTCCAGAAACTACTCAGAAAAAGCCAAAAGTGGTTTTATGGCTTGTGGTAGAGAGCCTTGAGCACAAGAGGCTCAGGGAAAGAGTCTAGGCCCTGAGTTTCAAGCCCAGGTCCGGCAAAAAATAAAATACAAATAATAATAAATAAAATTACTTTGGGGCTGGGAAGGTGGCTCAGGGGTAGAGCGCTTGCCTTGCATGCCTGAAGCCCTGGGTTCGATTCCTCAGCACCACATAAGCAGAAAGAAAAAAGCCGGAAGTACGCTGTGGCTCAAGTGGTAGAGCGCTAGCCTTGAGCTGAAGAGCTGAGGACAGCCCAGGCCCAGAGTTCAGGCCCCACGACCGGACCCAAAAAAAAATAAATAAATAAAATTACTTTTTATGTGTGTGCCAATACTGGGGCTTGGACTCAAGGCCTGGAGCTGTCAGCATTTTTCCTTACAGCTAGCTGGCTCTCCATACCTCCATTCTGACATTTTTGCTGGTTAATTGGGAGATGGAATATCTTATCTGCCATAGCTTTGAGTTGGGATCTTCAGATATAAGAAGATAGGCCTGAACCACTGAAAAATCTTTGTGTTTTCCTTTGTGTTGTACTAGAGTTTGAACTCAAGGCCTTGTGCTTCATCTAGTACTTAGCCATATCCCAACTCCCCAGTACAGGTTTGTACTAACTCTATTTTTGGAAACTTATTTGTTATGGAAAGTTTGCTTCATTGCTGTTGAGATTTCAATTTCTGATTTCCTCAAATACCTTCTCATTTCTCTCCATTTCAGTCATGTAATATAAAAATAGACTTTGTTTAGTTTCTCTTGACAGAATGATTCTCTTGGAGTTGTGATCAGAGTTATCTTAATTCTTCATTTTCTCCTGCCCTTTTTTGTATCTTTTCTCAAAGACAGGCCAAGGCAAGTGTTTCTAGAGAGGCTTCCTGTATTTCAGATGATTTGATCAGTTTGAATGCTTTTGAATTATTTGACATTTCACATATATTTCAGTACGTTTCAGAATCAATGTTTAAAAGCTGGGTTTTTTTTTTTTTTTTTTATCAGTTGTAGAGCTTGAACTCGGGGCCTGAGTGCTGTCCCTGGGCTCTTTTTGCTCAGTGCTAGCACTCTACCACTTGGAGCAACAGTGCCACTTCTGGTTATCTGGTAGTTATTTGGAGATAAGCATCTTATAGGGACTTTTCTGCCCTGGCTGGCTTTGAACTGCAGTCCTCAGATCTCAGCCTCCTGAGTAACTAGGATTACAGGTGTGAACTACTGATGCTTGGCTCAGCTGAGCATCATTATACAGTTGATAATTTTCACTCTCAGGTTTGTCATTCTTAGATTTAACCAATCTCAGATTGAAAATACTTAAAAAACAAATTGCAGAAAGTTGCAAAACTTGATTTTGTTACTTAGTATTACATCATGTGCACATGCAGTAATGATTAAAGTATATGAGAGAATTGTATTGAATATATGAGAAACCTCAAGCATTTTATACAAACAGTTTAATTATTCTTAGATCTTAGTTCTGTTGGGTCTCCTGGAACCAGTCCCCGGCCACCATACTTAATATGTGTATCCAGACAATATCATTTGGGGTTGTGTAACACTGACCATTCTAGGACTTAATGTCCTGAGCCCTCAGTCCAATATTTATCACAAAAACAACAACAAAAGCAAAGAACAAGAAAACTAACCGCAAAAGTCATACTTAGTACTATTTTTTTGGTTTGTTTTTTCTCTTCTATATGTCAGACATTTTTATTGTTGCTATAGATGCAGAGTATTCAATCCTATCCTCAGGAAGCTCAAAGTCTAGTAGGGGAGATAAATAGGTGAGTTATTAGCATAATGTATAAAGATAGGAACAAATACTATGGGAATATGACTGATGAACCATGTAAGGCTAAAGAAGTAATGACTTTTTTTCCCCAGTCGTGGGGTTTGAACTCTGGGCCTGCATGCTCAAGGTGAGCACTCTACCACTTGGAGCCACAGCACCACTTCTGGTTTTCTGGTGGTCAATTGGAGATAAGAGTCTCATGGACTTTCCTGCCCAGGCTGGCTTTGAACCACGATCTTCAGATCTCAGCCTCCTGAGTAGGTAGGATTACAAGTGTGACCCACCAGCACCTGACTTAAGAAGTGGTGATTTTTAAGCCATACTTAGCCGTACATGGAGAGGCTGAGGCAGGGAGAATCTTGAATTTGAGGCCAGTCTAGGCTATAAGAGCTTGTCTCAAAAACAGACAGAAAATGGTAATTTTGCCATCTAGGAATTAGATTTTGAAGGATGAGTTTTATAGGTTGTGAGAGGTTCCAATAAGATTATGAGCAGATGCATGTAGTCATAAGAGGGCTCCTTCTATTTGGACATAATATAAAAATCAAAGTGGGAGAAGTAAGGAAATTAAGGGAGTTTGTGAGAAAGAGGTCTGGAAAGTTGGGTTGGGTTTTGTTTGCGTACTTTGGATCTTATATTCTAAATAACAAGAGCTGTTAAGTCTTTTAGGCAGAATGATAAAAATAAGCTCTATTTTAAGTTCACACTGGTGATATTGAAAGGTAGGGAAGAAACTACTATTAGGGAGGTCAAAGGTTACTGTTTCAGTTTTAAAAATAGGATAAAGCCAGGCACTGGTGGCTAATGCCTGTAATCCTATCTATTCTGGAAGCTGAGCTCTAAAGATTGCAATTTGAATCCAGTCAGGACAGGAAAATCCATGAGACTCTTCACTAAACTACAAAAAAAAAAAAAAAAGTTGGAAGTGGCACTGTGGCTCAAGTGATAGAGTGCTAGCCTTGAGAACAAAAGCTCAGGGGCAGTGCTGAGATCTTCAGATCCAAGCCACTGGATCTGGCCCAGAGTTCAAGCCCCAGGACCAGGAAAAAGAGAGAGAGAGAGAGAGAGAGAGAATATGGACCAAAGAAATGGACTAGATTGAAATTTTCTAGATAGTATGGTAGGATTGGATGGTTTCGAACATGTATATGAGAGGTAAGAGTAAGGAGAAATCAGGTGTGACTTAGGTTGTTGCTTGGGAGTTAGTTGGATGGTAATGATCTTTTAGGTCATAGAGGGGTTACAGTTATATAAATCAGGTAATGAGTACATTTCTTTTTGGACAATGTCATCTCTTTTCTTCTCTCTTCCATTTTTTTCCTCCCATTGCCACTTACAAGTTGTATAGCTCATTTTCAAAATAGTCCCAGAGCTTTGTATATAAATGATTGTTCTCATCATTCAAGGTTATATATTTTATTGTTGCTTTTACCCAGACATTTATGAAGTTTGGATATAGCATCAGATCAACCTTAGAGGTTATGTAAGAGAAATACATTATATATGTGTAAAATAGTTACATTATACACACACACCAGTTTTTTTAATGCCAGTACCAGGGCTTGAACTCAAGGCCTTATGTTCTCCCTCAGCTTTTTCATTTAAGGCTGCCACTAACTCTTGAGCTACCCCTCTACTTTCAGCTTTTTATCTACTAATTGGGGATAAGAGTCTCTTGAATTTGTCTGCCCAGGCTTGCTTTTAACCAGAACTCAGCCTTCTGAGTGGTTAGTAGGCATCAGCCACCAGCACCTGGCCTTTTTTTTTTTTTTGGTCATAGTCTCAATATGTAACCCATATTGGTCCTAACTTGTTGTTGTTTTTTTTTTTTTTTTTGGTCGGTCGTGGGGCTTGAACTCTGGGCCTGGGCGCTGTCCCTCAGCTCTTCAGCTCAAGGCGAGCTCTACCACTTGAGCTACAGCGCCACTTCCGTATTGGTCCTAACTTATACTCCTGCCTCAGCCTCCAAAGTGGTGAGATTATAGTTACAGGCTTATTTGTTGTATCTTGTTTTGTCCTAAAACTGGTATTTAATTTGATCACATAGATTTGGCTTCAAATAACTTTTTGGATTTTTTTTCCAGAAGTAATCTAATTTTCAGCAGATGACTTTTTTAATCACCATTGATAGTTTTAAAAATGTGATGTGAATTCTAGAGACCTTGGGAATGGGAGAGGAGAAAGAAGCAATGAGAATATGGGTGAGGGAATGAATTTTTCAAAGTATACTGTGTGCATGTAGGGAAGTATCACAAAGAAACCCCTCATACTACAAAATCTGTTAGCTAAAAAAATATACTTTGGGAACCCTAATGGAACAGTATTTTATATATGTGGTATATTTCAGTTTATAGAGAATGTTTTTCTGCACATTTCCTTTTTCTTCCATCATGAGGTTGAACTCACTCCCTGAGCTCTTTTACCCAAGGCTACCGTTCTACCACTTTGAGCCATTGCACCACTTCTGGTTTTCTGATGGTTAATTGGAGATAAGGGTCTTGGACTTTTCCTGCCTGAGCTGGCTTTGAACTACAATCCTCAGATCTCAGCCTCCTGAGTAGCTAGGATTACAGGTGTGAGCCACCAGTGCTTGGCTCCACATTTCCTTTTTTTAATGTTTTAAACTTTAAAATAAGTTACCCTATTTATCCCAGACTGGCTTTGAGCTCACTATATCATCTAAGACTGGCCTTCAGTTTACTATCCTCCTGCCTCATCCTGAGTACTGAGATAATAGTGTACCACCTGCCCAGCTCATTTCCTATACAGCTCATTTCCTGTATGTTTTTTTTTTGGGTCCGGTCATGGGATCTAGGCCTGGGCGCTGTCCCTCAGCTCTTCAGCTCAAGGCTAGCGCTCTACCACTTGAGCCACAGTGCCACTTCCAGCTTTTTTCTTTTTGTTTATGTGGTGCTGAGGGATCGAACCCAGGGCCTCTGGCATGCAAGGCAAGTGCTCTACCACTGAGCCACCTTCCCAGCCCCCCTGTATGTTTTTTATTTTTTATTTTTTGGTCGGTGGTGGGGCTTGAACTCTGGGCTTGGGCGCTGTCCCTCAGCTCTTCAGCTCAAGGGGAGCGCTCTACCACTTGAGCTACAGCGCCACTTCCGGTTTTCTGGTGCCTTATTGGAGATAGGAGTCTCATGGTCTCTCCTGCCCGGGCTGGCTTTGAACGGCGATCCTCAGATCTCAGCCTCCTGAGCAGCTAGGATTACTGGCGTGAGCCACTAGCGCCCGGCTCCCTGTATGTTTTTTAAAATGTAGTTCTTAGTTGACACTAAGCAAAAGGAATGTACATATCACCCGACGTAGAAGAAATAACTGTATTTTCAAAGCTTTATAGACCATGATAAAAACAATTTGCCCAATGAAGGTTAGAATGTGTTTGTGACTTTAACTAAGTATCACTATCCCACAATACTGTGAAGTTTGTGAAATTTATGTATCACTTAATCACAATAAAAATTGCAAAAAATAAAATGCAGTTCTTCCAATTATTAATGAGGTAGATTGATCAGTCTGGTGAAAATGGTAAAGCAGAAGTTCAGTGAATCCTTCGTTTTAGAACTCATATATATCTAAAACTCTAATCTAGCATTTTTACATATTATTGTTGCTGCCTTAGTCTGTAGAAGTGGTTCAAAGATGTTAAATGATTACATTTTTGAGGAGACACGTTTCATGCATAGGGAAAGAGACAGCACTAGAATTATAGATTTCTACTTTGTAAAAGTAAAACAAACTGTTTTCTAGCTATAACATTTTAAGTTCTACCATTGTGTAGAAAATGAGTCTTTCTGTTGTTCCTGGTTGCACATGAAAGGCAAGTATCGATAATTACTTTTGTCATGTTTAAAATGAGGTTATGAAGTTTGGTATAACTCATTTCTATAAGGGCCTTGTGAAAGCTTACATTGGTATTTGGGGAACAATAGCACTAGACAGGACACGCCATAGATTCCAGCCCACATCTGCAAACTCTTACTGGGTAGCGGAGTAACAAGGCCTAGCCTCGTGTAAGGAATGTGTGCCCTGCAACTTCAGAGACAATTCAGTTGATTTAAAGAGATTTGTTCCCACTTCTTTCTGAGAGCATTGGGTATACAATGGGTGTATTCACGTCTTGCCTCCAAAGCTGGGGAGAGGGAAGAATTGAAGAAGGAAGTGTTATTGGATTTTTCTCTTCAAATAATGGTCCCTTCCAATATATTGCTGTATAGCATAAGGCTCTTGAAATGTTTGCGATTCTAATATCAGTGGTATGAGATCTTTATATCCTTATAATGCCTTGCACATAATGGATACAGAAAAAACTTTTCTAGAAGCTGGATACTAGTTGCTCATGCCTGTAATCCTAGCTACTGAGGAGGCTAAGATCTGAGGATCACGGTTCAAAGGTAGCCCAGGCAGGAAAGTCTGTGAGACTGTAATCTCTAGTTAACCACCAGAAAACCAGAAGTGGCACTGTGGCTCAAATGAGCTGAAGAGCTCAGGGACAGCACCCAGACCCAGAGTTCAAACCCCATGACCGACCCCCCCCCAAAAAAAAACTTTTTCAGAATCAATTTTTAATTTTTGCTCCCAGAATTCCAAGTGATCAATTACTTAAGTGCTTGTGAAAATTTTGATTTTGTGTGACTAAAAGGTAGAGTGGGTTGTATGTTTTTTCATAATACTATTTCAACTTGGTATTGGTTACATTCTCCATAAATAAAATGCTTGGCCACACTTTAGTTTTTACTTGAAAAGTAGTCCTGGCCATAATATATACATTTCTGCAAGTTTCACTTAGAAAATTTAATGTCTATTTAAATACATTTTCAGGAGAGTGGCTTTTTAACTTGAAGTTTATATAGGTTTTCTAGAATTTGATGGTAGTTCCTGAAATAATGTGGTTAAGATTAGGATAATCCCTCTTCAAATCCTGTAGTCTTTTGGGGGGCTGCAAGAGGGGAGAGCCTTAGCAGGCTTGAACTCCAGGTTTTAATTGGCTAAGCTTGCTCAGCTAGCACTCTATCAGTTGAACTATGCCTTCATCCTGGCTTTTTGCCGTGCCACTGGGGATGACAAGAGATTGCCACTGTATTTAATCATTGTGCCTCCACCATAGCTAGGACAATAAGCAAGCATCACCATGAGTCTAGCCATTGAGTGAAATGGAATGTCCTGAACTTGCTTGGGCTAACCTCAAAGCTCAATCCTTAGATTTTGTCCTCCCAAGTAGCTAGGCGTATAGGCTTGAGTGACTGTACCTAACTTGTTTCTTTGTGTTCAATTGATACATTATTTTACAATTGTAGATAATACTTTTATTTTCAAATTACATTGTAGGTAATACTTTTCAAATTACGTCAAAGTGTAGGTTTTCAGCCAGAAAATAGGACACATACTGTTATTATTTTCACCATCTTACTTTATTTTCTATTTTATGTGTTTAGGTGCTGTTTGAACTCTGCTCCATATATGCTAAGCTCGTGTTTACCATTGAGTTACAGTCCTAGACCTTCTCTTCTTTTTATATAATACTCTAAGGCTAACGCAGTACAAAAATAGAAAAGTTGATATACTAATGTTGATCTCTAAATGTGTATTGATTCTAGATTCTCTTATGTTGCAGACATACAGGCCGTCATTGCCTCCGAGCCTACATTAATCCTCAGCTCTGTTTCAGAAAGTAAGTTTCCAAATCTATTAATAATAATATTATCACTTTTCCCCCCTCAGAGAAAAGCAGTAGATTGTTGGTAGAGATTTGAAGAATAATTAAGAAAGCATGCAGTAATTGACACTTGGCTGAAAAGTTAATAATTGTAGAAACTGTGTTTCTGATTTTGTGTGTGTGTATGTGTGTGTGTGAGAGAGAGAGAGAGAGAGAGAAGGAGAGAGAGAGAGTGAGTGTGTCCTGGGGCTTGAACTCAGGACATGGGCACTGTCCTTGTGCTTCTTTTGCTTAAGACTAGCACTCTACCACTTGTGGTGCTGAGGATTTGAACCCAGGGCTTTATGCATGCTAGACAAATGCCCTTCGACTAAGCCACATTCCCAGCCCTGTGTTTCTGTTTTTTAATTTTTTTCTTTTTTCCTTCCTTCCTTTTGTTTCTTTTTTTTTTTTCCAGTTTAAATGGTTCTCCTGACTGAGATGCTGGAGTACTGGGATTACAGATATATGCCACTATGTTTAGCACAGTTAGCCTTTTGCCTTTTATACATCAGTTGTTAACATTTTCTTATATTTTCTTTTATAACACAGTACAGTTATATAGGCATAATTAGCAAATTTAGGAAGTTTAACATTTTCAAACACTTGATATACAGTTAATTTTTAGATTTTTTATTTTAAAAAAATGCTTTATAGAAATAAAATCTTCTGGGGCTGGGAAGGTGGCTCAGTGGTAGAGCACTTGCCTTGCATGCCTGAGGCCCTGGGTTCGATTCCTCAGCACCACATAAGCAAAAAGAAAAAAAAGCTGGAAGTGGCGCTGTGGCTCAAGTGGTAGAGCGCTAGCTTTGAGCTGAAGAGCTGAGGGACAGCGCCCAGGCCCAGAGATCAGGCCCCACGACCAGACCCCCCCCCAAAAAAAAAAAAAAAAAAGAAATACAATCTTCTTTTTCTCATTCAGGGAACTAATTCGATGCACACATATTTCTGTCATATTTCTGTAGTATCTTTTAACCTAGATATGAGTCTTAGCCTTTCTTTGTTGTTGTTGTTGTTTTTTTACTGTACTGGGTTTGCTTGGTCTCTCTTCTGGCACTGTCATTTGAGCCACACCTCCAGCCCTTCCTTTATTTTTAAATTCCAGTTCTAAGGCTTGAACTCAGGGTCCAGATGCTGTCCCTGATTTTTTTTTTTTGGGTCCGGTCGTGGGGCCTGAACTCTGGGCCTGGGCACTGTCCCTCAGCTCTTCAGCTTTCAAGGCTAGCACTCTACCACTTGCCACAGCGCCACTTCCGGCTTTTTTCTTTTTGCTTATGTGGTGATGAGGAATCAAACCCAGGGCCTCAGGCATGCAAGACAAGCGCTCTACCACTGAGCCAACTTCCCAGCCCTCCCTGATCTTTTTTGATCAAAGCTAGGGCTCTACCACTTGAGCCACAGCTCCACTTCCATCTTTTTTTTTTGGTGGTTAAGACTTCCCAGCCCTGGCTGGCTTTGAATATGATCCTTACTTCTTAGCATCCTGTTTAGTTAGGGTGACAGTGGTGAGCCACCAACACCCAGCCAGCCCTGATTTTTTCCTGGTTATTTTGGAGACTGAGTCTTACATCTTTTTCTGTCCTGGCTAGGTTTAACCTTGATCTTCTGGATCTTAGCCTCCTGTACAGGATTGTAGGCATGAGCTACCAGCACCCAGCTTGACATTGATTTTTTTTTGGAGAGGTTCTCTAAATAGCTCATGCTGGCCTAAAACTCACTATGTAGCCCAGCTCAAATTTGTCATCTTTCTTCCTTACCCTCTGAATACTGGAATTACAGACATATGCTGCCATACCTGGTGACATGGATGTTTTTGGGAAATGTAGGCTTGTAGGGGAGCTAAAGATGAATTTGTGGAGTTGTTTCCTAATGATTGGAAACGTCTATGCATCTTATCACTGGCTATATGTTTTGTTGTCTGTGATTTTTTTTTGGGGGGGGCGTCCATTCGTGGGGCCTGAACTCTGGGCCTGGGCGCTGTCCCTCAGCTCTTCAGATCAAGGCTAGCGCTCTATCACTTGAGCCACAGCACCACTTCCGGTTTTTTTCTTTTTGCTTATGTGATGCTGAGGAATCGAACCCAGGGCCTCATGCATGCAAGGCAAACGCTCTACCACTGAGCCACCTTCCCAGCTCTGTTGTCTGTGAGTTTTAAACATTGGTCATCTGAATAAGGAAATATAGACCAGGCTTTAGCTACTACAGAGGTTTTTTTTGTTTTGTTTTGTTTTCATTTTGTGCTTGCTTTTTGTTTTGTTTTTATCCTTTTATAGTACCAAATAATTTATCAGGAGCTTTTCACCTTTGTCAATCATTCCTTCCTAACTTCTTTTCTTCCTTCCCTCCATCCCTCTTTTCCTCTCTTGGTAATAGCATTGATCCCCAGGCTTAGTATATGTTAAGTGTGTACTTTTACCACTGGTCCATACTTATAGCCCTTGATATCTTGAGGGAAATGGAATCACATTTTGTTTATCTTATTTTTTTTTAATTTTTTTATTGTGAAAAAACTGTACAGAGGGGTTACAATTACATGGGCAAGATAATGAGTACATTTCTTATCAAGCATTGTAGCCTCCTCCTTTGTTTCCCCTTCCCATCCCTTCCAAGCCTCCCCCCACCCCCCACATTTTATTTATTTTAATATTTGTTTTTTGTTCTTCTGTCCTGGTGGTCAAACCTAGGGCCTTTGTATGCCAGATAAGTATTGTACACCACATTCCTTGGCTGAGGTTATTAATTGAATCAGATTTGTCAGAAAAATAAAGCAATTGGACAAACATGTTTTTCTCCCAAGTCAGTCTAGTCATCTTACCTTTTTAAATATTTTATTCTGAGCTGGGATCCAGTGTCTCACTCCTGTTATCCTAGCTATTCAGGAGGCTGAGATCTGAGGATCATGGTTTGAAGCCAGTTTAGACAAGAAAGTCTATGAGACTCTTATCTCTAATAAACTACTCAGAAAAATTCAGAAGTGACTCTGTAGCTCCAGTGATAGAGCAGTAGCCTTGAGCACAAAGAGGCTCAGGGATGGTACCTAGGCACTGAGTTCAAGCCCCAAAACTGGCCAAAAAAAACCAACAACAAAAAACAAAAACCCTAATTAACTAACTAAATATATATTTTGTTATGTAAAGTAGTAAGCCAGGTTTACTTTTAATACGTCTTAAACCTTCTGATTTTGTTTTAGTGCTATTCCTATGGGAACAACAGCCAAAGAAGAAATGGAACGGTTCTGGAATAAGAACACAACTTTAAATCGTCCTCTGTCTCCCCATATCACTATCTACAGGTAAGAATTCTGGAGCCAAGAATGTGGAGGGAGTAGGTGAAAGTTCTGCAAGTTGGTCTTTGTCTCCCTGTTATTTTCTTCAGATAGAGGGAAATAATTTACTTCACTGGTATGTAACATTAGATGATAGGGTAGAGAAAGATAACAAAAGTCTTATATTTGGCTCCTTATATGAGTGACTAAATTCTAATCTTACTAGATCTTTAAAAAAATGCTATCATTTAGGAAATTTTGGTAAGTCAAATGTAATTCCTGTTAACTAAAGAAAAAAACTTTTGGAGCAATTTCAAATTTGTATAACCTTTAAAGGAAAAATGTAGAGTTTCCCTTTACCTTTATGCTAGCTCCCAATTTGTTAATATGTCTGAATTATTTAAGAAAAAGAAGCAATGGGGCTGGAAAGGTGGCTCAGTGGTAGAGTGTTTGCCCTGCATGCACGAGCACCACATAAGCAAAAAGAAAAAAGCCAGAAATGGTGCTGTGGCTCAAATCGTAGAGCGCTAGCCTTGAGCTGAAGATCTGAGGGATAGGTGAAGAGCTGAGGGATAGCGCCCAGGCCCAGAGTACAGGCCCCACGACGGGACCCGAAAGAAAAAGAAGCAATGCCTCATTACTCCTGTGTGGGTTTTTTTTTTTTTTTTGGTCTACATTAGTTGTGCCAGGGGAATTTCATTGTGATATTTCCATACTTGGAAATAATATATCTGAATTGAACCACCTCATTTATTATCATTTTCCTTTATCCCTCCTTCTTAAAACAATTTCAACCATTTTTATACTTGCAAATAAACTATTTCTACCATATTTATCCTCATTCACTTTCTCCCTCCTTGTCATAGCCTTCCCCAACAGATTCTGTTTGAGTTCATGTCTTTCAGTATTTACTATATATTAATTGTATGAAGGAATTTTACCATGATACTTCAAATGTACAAATATTTTAATCAAAATAACTCTTTCTTTTGCTTTCTCTTTCCTTTTACCTCTCAGCTCCTTATTGACTGGCACTATTTAGATAGCTTTTTTTTTTTTTTTTGCTGGTTGTGGGGCTTTAACTCAGGCGCTGTCCCCAAGCTCTTCAGCTCAAGGCTAGTGTTCTACCACTTTGAGCCACAGCTCCACTTCTAGTGTTTTGTGTGGTTAATTGGAGATAAGAGTCTCACAGGGACTTTTCTGCCCAGGCTGGCTTCAAACTGTGATCCTCAGAGATCCTCCTGAGTAGCTAGGATTATAGGTGTGAGTCACTAGTGCCCAGCTTTTAGATACTTTTTGAGTAGTTGTACAGAGTGGTTACAATTCCATAAGTCAAGTTATGAGTACAGGTTTTCTTGGTCAGTGTTATCCCTTTCTTTGTTCTCCCATTTTCTCCTCCATTTAGATGCATACAAAATTATCAGTATAGGCAGAGAGTCTTGGGACACCAATAAGAAGCATTTGAGGGGTTGGGAATGTGGCTCAGTGGTAGAGTGCTTGCCTTGCATGCATGAGGCCCTGGGTTCAATTCCTCAGTACCACATAAGCAGAAAAGCCAGAAGTGGCACTGTGGTTCAAGTGGTAGAGCGCTAGCCTTGAGCTGAAGAGCTGAGGGACAACAATCAGGCCCAGAATTCAGGCCCCATGACCAACAAAAAAAAAAAATTTAAAAAGAAGCATTATGTCTTTCTTGCCATATATGGTCTACCCATTGGCTGGGCATTCCCTTCCCCTGTACCAGTTCCATAGTTACAATCATGTGTCTGTGTGTGTATTAGGTGTATGTATGTGTCTGTGTATGTAAGTGTATATATGTGTGTGTGTGTATGTATATAGATACATATATACTATGTATGTGTTCACAAATACATATATCTTTTAGATCTAGCTTTTACAAATGGGGAAAAAATTGCTATTTGCTTTTCTAATACCTTGTTCAATATAGTGTTCTTTAATTCTATTCATTTTCCTGCAAATGACATGTTTTCATTCTTCTTCATGGATGTGTAATATTCCATGGTATGTATTGCTATATTTTCTTTATCCCTTTTACCTGTTATTTGGCACCTCAGCTTATTTCCATAGTTTGGCTGTGGTGAGCAGCACTGCAGTAAATATGGGTATGCAGGTATATTTCTTTTCTTTCTTTCTTTATTTTTTTTGGTAGGTGGTGGGGCTTGAACTCTGGGCCTGGGTGCTGTCCCTCAGCTCTTCAGATCAAGGCTAAGCCTCTACAACTTGAGCCACAGTACCACCTCTGGTTTTCTGGTGGTTTGTTGGAGATAAGAGTCTCATGGACTTTTCCTGCCCCGGCTAACTTTGAACCACAATCCTCAGATCTCAGCCTCCTGAGTAGCTAGGATTATAGGCATGAGCCACCAGCACCTGGCCCTGCAGGTATATTTCTTGTGTTTTGATTTATACTCCTTTGGATACATGTCTAGTAGTGCTATATCAAGGACATAAGATAGGTATACTTTTAGTTTTTGTTTGTTTGTTTTTTAACAAACAAACATGTTGTCAGGTGCTGATGGCTTATTCCCTGTAAGGTACTCAAGAAGTTGAAATCTGAGGATTATGGTTCAAAGCCAGTCTGGGCAGGAAAGTCCATGAGAATTTTATTACCAATTAACCACCAAAAAAATAAGCTGAAAGTAGAGCTGTAGTTCAAGTGGTAGAGCAATAGACTTGAACAAAAACTCCCAAGGATAGCTCTCAGGCCCTAAGTTAAAAACCCAGGATGACCACACATACACACAGAAAGGAACCTTCTTACTGATTCTATTGCAGTTGTGATAGTTTTTGTTCCTACCAACAATGCATGAGGTTCCTTTTTCTCCACATCAACTTCAGCATTTGTTGTTGTTGTACACTTTTTGTGTTTTGGGTTTTTTTTTTGGTTGGTCGTGGGGCTTGAACTCTCAGCCTGGGCAGTCCTTCAGCTCTTCAGCTCAAGGCTAGCGTTGTACCACTTGAGCCACAGCGCCACTTCCGGTTTTCTGGTGGTTTATTGGAGATAAGAGTCTCACAGACTTTCCTGCCTGGGCTGGCTTTGAATGGAGATCCTCAGATCTCAGCCTCCTGAGTAGCTGGGATTACAGGCACCCAGCTGTTGTTGGTGTTTTTAATGATTGCCATTTTGACTGGAGTGAGATGGAATGTTACTATAGTTTTGTTTTGTGTTTGTTTTGATTTGATTTTTTGTTTTTTTGGTTGGTTGTGGAGCTTGAACTCAGCTTGGGCACTGTCCCTGAGCTCTTTAGCTCAAGGTGAGTTCTCTACTGCTTGAGCCACAGTGCCTCTTCTGGATTTTTCTGCTTATATGGTGCTGAGGAATCGAACCCAGGGCCTTAGGCATGCAAGGCCACCTTCCCAGCTCATGCTTTGTATTTTCGTAAAGCTGAGGGTGTTGAACATATTTTCATGGGTCTATTAGCCATTTGTATTTCTTTTTCTGAGAATTGTCTTTCCATTTGCACCCCCCCTTTTTTTTTTTGGTCATGAAACTTGAATTCAAGGCCTGAATCTTGTCCCTGAGCTCTTTTGTTCAAGGCTAGCACTGTACCACTTTGTGCCATAGCTCTACTCCCAGTATTTTTTTGGTTAACTGGAGATAATAGTCTTCATGGACATTGTTGCCCGTGCTGGTTTCTAATGGTGATCCTCAGATCTCATTCTCCTGTGTATCTAGGATTACAGGCATGAGCCATCAGTACCTAAGTTTGCTTATTGATTTATTAATTGGCTTATTCTCTTGCTCTCTAATTTTTTGAGATCATCTATCTATCTTATCTATCCTATCCACAAATGTTTTTATAAATTTATTTCTCCCAACATACTATATGTATGTAACCATATTAATATACACACAGACATAATCTCTGTTTATCACTTGTTCTCACAAGGAATTACTAGCTTACTTTGTGGGTATCTTCTAAGAAAGTCCCTTAAGATTGCTTTTTGTTTGTTTGTTTGGTTTTTCAAAGCTAACCCAGCAAATCATCTTGACTTCTTCTACCTTCTTTACTTGGTTTCCTGCCAGAGAGGCTGCCATTTTTTAACCACCTCCACAAATACCACAATCCTTCGGGTTTTTTCCAACCCAAATTCCAGGAATAATTCTGATTGCAGAAGTTGGACATTGTACTAAAAATGAGGCTGCTAATAAGAGATCTCAATTCTTAGTACTTCATGGTGAAACTTTTTAAAAGAGGTAAATGATTTAGGGAGGATTATATTTGACAGAGAACTTCCAAAATTATTCAGTCTATATTTAAAGCCCGGGACTTTTCCCCCCACAATCATACAAAATTGGGCAGTAGATTCATAGTAGAGGTAAGTAGAGGCAAGTCTCTTACTACCTTTTTTTTTTTGGCAGGGGGAGGGGGCGGGGGGGAGGGGGGGGGAGCCGGAGGC